TATCTCAAATAGGAACCGGGCTGATGCGAATCAAATTGGACGCGCATCCGATGATTCGATGCGGTGCCGAACCGATGATCACACTGGAAGTATTACACTTGTGGCGGCGATACACAGACCACGTTTCGAACCGTACAATCCAGGCGGGCATCTATCCACACGCGATTAATAATGCAACCAGAGCCTATATTCTGGAAACAATTCAACGTATGGGACCGGATGCGCGTGTACTGTGTCACAAACAACCAGCCACGTTTGATTATTTGGCGATTTTGGGTCAGTTATTTCCCACGGCAAAATTCATCCACGTTTTTCGTGATGGTCGGGGAGCAGTAGCATCCTCTATAAAGTGAGTCATGTGAAGATATANGCCTTCGCTCGCTCTCTCTCAAGTTCGTTCTGCATCCCTCCCCCACCGCTCTTTGCCTGTATTACTTGTTACGCATGAAAGTATAAATAGACTTTTGGCTCATCCATGTCACCAGATCAGTTTCCCACTGGATGATATCCAAGTTATGGTAACTGAATTCATCATGTCAGCTTCAATTAGTTATCCAGGATTCTGGAAACCACCCATTTTTCTTCAATTTTTTCCAAACGTTTTGAATATTTAATGATATTATTTTCGGTAAAGGGAGTCGGCCACCCAAAAGGGTTGCTAACGAGCACAGAATGAACAATGTTAGATAGGAGTGATAGAATTCAAACAAATGTCTCCCGGGACTTAATCCGGTGGTTTTCATTACCCAATCTCGAATGCATTCATAAAATAAATAATAATAAATAAATAATAATAAATAATAAATAAATAAATAATAAATAATTACAAAAGTGAATACACGAATTATTGGAGAGTAATACGGCTGGACAAAAAGTGTACAAATCTATGCACACAATGATGATTGATTTGTCCAGCGCTGTCTGTGGATCATTGGAAAAACCCTAGTCATCAGCTTCTTCAGGATTTGCTCCCGGGGCTTTACACACTGAAATATTTCCTAATTCACGGCTGTTTCCTCATCCCTTTTCAGTCGAGGTCTACTCTCAAACGATAGTCACCAAAGTTCACTCAAGGGTTGGGAACGCCAAGTAGCAAAAACGATAAACGATTGTGCACAGTTGGGTCCCAACC